ATAAGTCCTATTACTCTCACAACTAATAAATAGGTCTATAAATAAACTCCTTAAAAGAACACTTTCGATGTTCATCGAGAAATTTACGTATCAGAAATGATCTGATTCAGGCAAAGCTATTTGGATACACTCGTTGAATTCACTTCTGATTAAGGGTCTCGTTTCTCTTGTGACGTATTTCTGCGATGGGGTGAGACTATGTCTCTATGGCGCTGGTTCCTTTTCGAACCCACTGGTTGTCCCACAGATGATACATGAGTAAATATGGAGCAGCAGACAGGAAAAAGCCGAAGGACTCGGGAAAAATTCTATCACAGTGCCGCTTCGTCTATCCACTTGTTACTGTCTGTAGTAATAAGAAATCAAACGCGCTGCAGAAACAATGTTTTCTTTCAATAATACCAAAGCGATTACAAGATATGTTATCATTATTATTATTTAATATTAATATTTGCCGGCCGCAGTGGCCACGCGGTCTGAGGCATAGACCTCGTGAGCTTGGCCGCTGGGACCGTGGGTTCGAGTCCCACTCAAGGCATGGATGATTGTCCGCGTCTTTCTGTGTTTGTATAGGTAGAGGCCTTGCGTCGGGCTGATCACCCATCCAAAGAGTCCTACCATTGTCCAAATAGATCAATCGAATAATTAAACCTCGACACCTAAGGGTAAAAGAGGATGAGAGAAAGAAAGAAAGAATATTAATATTTAATCGTTATGGGTGTCCTTTCCCCTGGGTAAAGCTGCCGTGGCGTGAAGCTGACCACTCAACTCTCAGTGCCTAAGTTAAGAATGCACGAAGCTATTTTTCCGCCTCGCAATGTCTTCAGGGACAATTTAACTAAACCGAAGTTCTTATCTGGTATACCAGTAAACATGTATAAATTGTTCACGTCAGGTAAAAGTCGTCTGAAATTGTTTTTATTATTGCATGCTTTTACATAAACTCTGATTATAGACTATCTGCTGATTACGTAAATTTGTTCCGTAGTTACGTAACCAAAGACTGTCTAGTGTTCGTTATTCTGAAGCACTGTCATCGCCTTGTGAAGTGTTACCTGGTGTCCCAGAATGATGTGTGTAAGGGCCATTCTTATTTGATGTCTTCGTCAATGGTTTATATAGTTATTAATTTTTTAATTATATAATTTTTGATGACGACACACATTTTTCGAACCATAAATTTTCCTCTGGGTTCTTATCTACCTCAATGGACAATGATGCCATGCGTGACACAGCCATATAATGTTTGATGTCTGTAAAAAAATATTTTTTTACTATGAAACGAATATGGTCGATTGCCTTTGTGTATGAACTCTTTAGATCTCGTATTATTCATACATATGTTATTGGGCATTTGGGAGTTTCTCTTGATTCAAAAATGTATTTTCTTCAACATGTAGACTATTTATTTTCGCAAGCTTTAAAGCTGTTTGGTCGTATTCGTACTGAAACCTTCTTCTTTTCATCCGCTGACAGTTTTCTAACATATTTTACTTTAGTCAGACCTAAATTAAATATACTACCGCTACAAGGAATATTTTAACTTATACTGATGCCAACAAGCGTCAGTGCATTCAACGGAAATGTTTAGCCCTGTGCTACAAGCGTTTCTTTCCTCATATTTATTGTACTTATGTGCTTGCTTTAGAACACTTAAATTTCAATACCTTATACACTAGGAGGCGCCACTTCAAACTGTTGAAAATTTTCACTTCGCTGTCTATCTCTACCTATCAGATATAGGTGTTACTCGCCTTTTATGACTATTATTTGGGGGGGGGGATAATCATATACTGCCCTTCTCTTCTGGAAGCTTTCGGGCTTCGAATTCCTACTCTGTATCTGAGAGACTTTTCTTGTTCAGTTTCGGCCCTTCAATTAAAAGGTTTTCTTCTGCTAGATGAGCATCAGATGCTAATGTCTGCAGGGAATTTGATATATTTGAAACCAATTTTTTTTACTTAATCGCATTTTATAATAACTGAGTTGCTATCCGCATATTACAAATTCATTAAATTCAATATAAATTTATTTTTCCCCCTGTCTCGACTCCTCTACTCACCGTTGACTGTGTGTTATCATTCTAATTATATAAATTCTCTGACTTCGTACCTTGTTTGTTTTGCATATTTTCTTCTCCTTTTAATTTAACTTACATAATTTATTTTAATTATTATTGCAAAAATATTTATGTATTCATTTGTAAATTGCCTTGTGCATTAATGTCCTCTACACTTATGCAATTTTTTATAATTTGCTTTTCATTTTGCTATATTTATTATTGCGTTTTTGACTTCTGCTGTATCTGTAAATTGTAATCCTTCCTGTTCATGCATCACATTAATAATAAATAATTAAAATGAATTACTAAATTCGATATACAAATATGTAGATTGTACACATACAAGACGGATGATGTTGGATAATACAGACACACGCATATAAAATGTATATTTAAAATCCTCTGTGTAACATTTTCTCGACTATCGCTTTGTATGAAAACAATTTTGATGTATTCAAATCCAGATTTAAAAATAAAGGATTGAACTAAGCTGCACGTAACTCCATGGTACAGTGTGTTCCTTGAATTCGTTGCTATAATTAAAGTTCGTTAATTTCCATGTGAGTCAACCTGATAAGATTTCAAAATTCCGAATTTGGAAACTGTGCAACCAGCTCTGTGGCTATGTTTAGCGAAGCTGGATACTGCGCGCTATTGTGACAGCCAGCCGCCAGATGTAGCGCGTCTATATTTAGAGGGCAGGCCAGCTCCTATATATTGGCAATTCTGTGTCTTGTCTGCCACTAGAGATCTTTAACCTGGAGTTAAGTTGCAATATGAAGAAGCTAATTACTCTGCACTGTTAACGGGAATACCCTATAGGCTGGACGACCAAGGTTCGATCCCCGTCAGGGACAGTTTCTACCCCACTATGTCCAGATCGTTTCCACTACCCACCAAGCCTCTAATTGAATGGACTCCTCGAGTGTCAATGCGACCGGAGCGTGATACTGACAAATGTCTTCCATTTGGTGTCCAAATATATAACGCATTCAATTGTACCTCCACGTCTCCCATACGACTTCATGGAATAGTTCTTCGGCACAGCCGCTACTTGGCATTTAAGTCATTACTCAATAACCACATGAGACGGTTTGGCTTACTTAGTAAAGTGACTGGTTAAGGGATGGTCAACCCGGGTTCGATACTCGGTAGGAGCAGAGTTTCTATTGCAGTTCCCATGAACAGGGGTGAGTTGTAACTACTCTACCATGAAATTAGTGAAGTTTCAATCACCAATACCCCTGAAACGCCATGTTTACATCACATACATCGTAGAAAATGAACAGCTGTTCAATATAATTAATATTTAATAAATCATCCGTTGTCATTGTCTTTACAGAGTCATTATGTGATTTACATTCACGAACAAAAGTAAATGAAATATCGTTTTCAGAGTAGAATTGTATAATTTGATTCCCACTAGTTCGAAAAATATTTCTAGGTATCGTGTTGTCTAGAAGGAGAAAATGGTGCACTTAAAGAGATAAATCTTATTGAATGGTATTATTTTACAAGAGTGTCCAAGGGTTTAAAAATTAATGTCAATGAATAATAATTATGGTGATTGAATTAAGGGAGATGAAGAGGGGCGAAGCATGAAGCACGCATCGCTAAATTCGAAAGGAAAGATACCACATTGGGAAAGCAGACATAGCTGGGACAAAAATACAACGATCTATCGGCTATGAATATGTGTGGTCTGGTTTTAGAAAGTTGGGTCCAACGACCGTAATTTCAGATCTGGTTAATGAACCTTCGAGTTCCACAAAAGGTGGAGAATTTGTTAAAAGCTATCAGCTTTTCAAGGGAGACTGAACCATAGAATTAATAGAAGGATAGCGAACACCGTTCATAGTTTATTCGTTCACACAAAATATTTTAATTTAGCTTCAGTAATAATGCATTCCCTTCTTGCATTATATCAGAGAACCATTCGCTAAATAACACTTCTTCTCACTTTTGTTCGGTTTTCTTTACACATGTGGTCAGTCGAGTACATTACAGACTTTGCAAACAGTTTTAGGTTTTTCTTTATTATCGCAGGGAAGCGAAGTGTGTGTTGACAGTAAACGTCATTCTGCTTTTGCGATAAGTAAAGGAGGACAAGTGCTTAAAATAATTACTTCGCTACAAGTTATGACGCTATTTCTATGAGAAAAATATTTTGTTCTTGAATGTAGAACTACAAAATACGACGTTGGAGAGGCGAAGACCATTTTGGAGTTTCATAACATAAGGCCTTAACGACGTAACCAAACAAAATTAATTTTTAAGATAAATTACATGCAGGCCATAGAATTTCACACTCAAAAATGTATAATACGAGCGTACAGAAAATAGATGCGGGTATCGCTTGTCCCCAGATAAAATTTTAATCCTAATTATGAAAGGTTAATTTCAATAAAAATGAAATATTCCATCACTTATACAACGTTTATCGAATATATTTTACAGACAACAAACAACTGTATATGTAACAAACATTCCTAAAGATATTTTCCTTTAAACTTTATCAGAACTTTCAAACTGCAATTATACTATAAGCAGAGCTACTGAATTTGTTCTCGCAGTATAGACTTAAAATAATTTCAACTTATAACATTTACGGTCATAGCCTCTAATAAAATGTATAAACGAATGTAATGTTTGTTTTATATTTGGAGAAACAAATCACGGTATATTTTGGGCAAATACGGTAATAAAACTGAACAAACCGAAAAAATGTATTAGCGAAGCAAACCCCGTACTTAGACTCAAGTTTACTCGGTTTACAATTCTGTGAAGATAATGGAATTGTTCTACAATTAGTTGCATACGTGTAAAGTCAGAGGCCAGTACTTTAGCAGGGTAATCACATTTATACAATTTTCCTTGTTCCAGTGTTAATACGTTGTACATGGAAACAACATGATAGTGATAATAGCTGATACCTTACCCGTACTGGCTGGGTAAAACTGCAGGGTATCCAGTCCGGATTCCGGGAAACGGGAAGCCTGAAACGATAAAATAAATACACATAAGGCTCGGCGTATTCTTCGGTTCACTCAGTGTTAAATGTCAGTGTATTCCGGGACACCATTAAGTCATACGCTGAAAAAATCCTGCAAAATGACTCTCAGAAAATGAAAAGGGAAAAGACTACTTCCTATGCCTAAGCGTATATTGAAAGATAATATTAAAATAGATCTTAAAGAAACAGGGGTATGAAGATGTAGACTAGATTCGTCTATCTTAGAATTTCATATTACCGGTCAGTTAGCAGGACGCGTTAGTGGCGACCTACTGAAATTGTCTACTTTGCTTCTGTCCAAAAGAAATCTTTGTTGCATCACAGTGCTGCAAAACTGACAAAATGGATCTAATTTAGCCGACTGTTTAATTTTGGAGGGTAGGCGTGGTGGTCTACGGATAGTTTCCCCTGTACATCAAGGGTATCACGCCAGAATAGTATATCAACGAATCGGATATATGTGAGATTTGAGGTATTTACGACGGAGAATATGAAGATGGATGTCTTCTGGGTTAATGCGACGTGTAGTCTGGTAGAAGTTTACTAACTAACTAGATGGCTTACCGAATCCGAAGGTTCATCACCGACTTAACCAAAGTCTTCCACCGAACCCTGTCCTGGGCCAACAAAATCTAGTTTCCATCAACTCCTATCTCCCATGGATTCCGCTTGAGATTATCCTCCCATCTACGTCTAGGTCTCCCCAGCGGTCTCTTCCCCTCAGGATTCCCAACCAATACCCGGTAGAAGTTTACAGGTCCATGATTTGTACTCTTCGCCAAATATTATAAAGATGATCAAATTGAGGGCTCCAGTTTTATAAAGGGTTCTGACGTTCCATGTGCCAAATTCGGAAACCATATTCCGTTGCCAAGGTCGTTGCCGTACATTCTTTTTCCCATTCATTCGAGGCTTCGATAGAGGCTTCTCAACATATATCATTTTTACAGATGTAGGGGTGTCGGCCCTACGATCCAACCCCCAACCTGGAGGGACAGGGTATTTCTCTTAGTCTGGTCCCTATCCTTGACCTGTCCGGCTTGGGAGGCACTACCGGTACACTCAAGCCCCACCACCACGCCAAGGTGGAAATACCTGCGGAAAACTCAAAGTGGAGGATACGTTACAATCATGAGTTATATAGACTATATAAAAGTGATGATATAGTAACTCACATTAAACTGAGAAGGTTAGAATGGGCTGGACATGTCTACAGGATGGAAGAGTATAGGATACCCAAAAAAATATTGGAAGGAACAATATATGGGAGAAGGCCAGTGGGAAGACCTAAAGGTAGATGGCTGGATGCAGTGACGACTGACTCCAGAAATCATGGAACAGCGACTTGGAGAAGGATAGCGTTGGATAGAGAGAATTGGCGGAAGAAGATAGAGGAGGCTAGGGCTCGATTTTGGGCTGTTACGCCATAGTAGTAGTAGTAATAGATAAAATTGAGGAAATTGAGCTAGAAGAGACATATAGCGAATGTGGAAACTTACAAATGCGTACAAAATTTTGATTGGCGAGCCTGAAAGAAAATATCACTTGAATGACCTAGCCGTATTTAAAATTATAATACTAAATTGGGTTTTAAAAATAGTGTGGGAAGTTATGTTCTGGATTCATGTGGCTAGGGGTAAGGACCGGTGGTGGGCTCTTCTGAACGCGGTAATAAACTTCCGGTTTCCATAAAAGTCGAGGGATTTCTGGACTAACTAAGCGTACAATCAGCGTCTCAATAAGGACCCTGCTCCACGGAGCTTGTAACTAATGAAATTATCATGGAGAGAGACCTGTTGGTAGGTAAAGAGCGCTACTATGTCTACAACGGCATAGTGTTTACCGCCAGAGATCATTCTTTTAACTAATCCTGTAGAGTAAAAAGGGGATAATGATGATAGGTCTTCTGAAAGCAGGCCAGTTCTCTCAAGTGGAGCGGCAGATAAGTTAAGCGAGTGTTGACGCCCGTTCTAAACAACATCCTTCACTCAAGTTATAATAAAAACTCAGAAACTCATCGCAATACTTCCAGAGATTACTCGTTTATCTTCTTAAACCGCTGAAATATTTATCATGATCTACTCTGAGATAAAACATTTGTTCGTTGGTAAGTACGTAACTCATTCATTAATCTAAATCTATTTTACATGGTTATGAAAATCGATTATTAATACTATAGTATATGATAGACAAGAGTCCAAACTTCTGAACAGAAATAAGAAAACAGAATTATGATACTGTGGACATAAGAAGTGTCTGTGGACATAGTGGATCCTGTTATGCTTGCGGCCGTCTGGATATACCAGCAATCGATATTACAATGTGGCTAACCTACTTCATGACATTTGTAAGACCGGCAGGTGGCCTAAGCTTAACACTTTATCCTCTACAGAGGCACTAAATTTTGACTGGTTCACAAGTTATTAGCAACGCTGTATCAATTTCGAAGGTTACTTTGTGGTGATTTGATACAATGGTAATGCAGAAGTTCACTCTATTTTACAAAGAATTGTAACGTAGTATTCAAGTTGTGAAGATATTCCAAAGAAATTCCCGGCGTTTCTGGAATCCGAAATTTTACTACCGTGTACAGAAAAACAACGCCCCTGGACTCCGTCCTAAGTCACATCAATCAAGTCCGCACATTCACCACCTATTTCTCTTAAAATAAGTTTAATATTTGTAATTCCATTCAAATCTGTTTTGTGTCGTCTTCACCTGAGATAAAGAATTTATTAATATTTTGTTACTTTGGGTTGTGACATCGTGTGGTTATACCTCTTGGGAGAACACACACTACCTCATCACCTACGCTGAAGATGGAGACAAAATTTTCCTCTACCGATAACCACCTACAAATCTAAATAAAACTTTCATCTTCTACCTTCAAAATATAGGTAGCATATTTATATAAAAAATAATAATCAATTACAAGACTAACAGTATCTTGAACCAGAATCCCAAAATGTGAAATTTCATTTCCATTAAAACTTTAAAATTAATACAAAACTGATGCTTTCTTTTACTCAGTCCATACTACTTATAAAGCTTGTACCACCTTTCTTACATTTAGGGCCTAATAATATTAACAGTGTTTAGGTAAAGAGTAAACAAATTTTCAGCTGCTCAATATACAATTTTCGTTCTCCTGTTATTTTGCTTGCCTTAAAATATTTTTATCAGCATTCAGACATCCTCAATTTAGGTCAATGTGGGATCTACGGTTCTCACAGCAGCGATTATGTAGATGGCTGTCTTCTGGGCCCTATGATGGAAGCAACAAGCACCTCTGAAACGTCCGTAAACTTCTATCAGAGTTCATGACGTAACAGCCCAGAAGACAGTCATCTGTCCTCCATTTGTCTTATTCCCTAAGAGAATAACCAACACGAAAACACAAAGAAAGTTCCTGCTTACAAGTCATACGAAATGGTGGGAAGGATTTGTCTTTCACAACAAACATTAAACGCTAAATCTATGAAATTATCGTAAATTAATGAGCAATTTGCCACAAGGAAATAAATATAATATCATAACGCTAGTAATATCATATCTAGATCAGTTTCAGAAAATAACGGATGCTTTTAGGTGAAACGGCGACACAATGAATAATTTATCCGACACTCATTTTACCTTAAAACATGAAACTTTTCCATTTCCCGGCATTACTCAACCTCCACCAGAAGGAAGACAACAATTTTATCGATTTATAGAGAGAAAGTGCTTCGAAGCCTGTTGTGTACAAGGTGTTTGAAAATGTATAAACAGCTTAATACGATATATCACGCCAAAGAAAACAACTAGACTAAGGCTGTTTAAGGACACTGTGCTAAGTAAACAGTTTTTGTCTAAATCTTAAGAGAGTAAAAATAACAGGATGACATCAGAAAACTACGTGAGCTAACGAAGAATATCATATTTTGCACTTCGTCGAACGTTTAAATTAAAAGAAAAACCACAACAATTCAACTTCCTTTTTATCCGAAGACGGAATCAGAATTCAACCTTTTGATTTTATTCATAGTTTATAAGATGTAGGGATTTTTTCTTCGCCATAATTTCCAAAACTGCTCCACTTACATTCATTCTCCTGTCTAAAGTACTGAGAAAAAAGTGGCCGATTACAAAGATGATCTCTAACCTAACCTTGTACAGGTATATGGAATATATTTTCCATTTATATTATTATGCATATTTTCAGACACTCAATTTAACTTTGTTAGTTCAACTTAAATGTCTAAATAGAAATATTTAATTTCCATAATGCTTCGTGTTAAATGATCTGACTCCACTAGATATCCCGAGGACAAAAATCATGTTAAAAGACTTTGATGCACTTCCGGTTTAAATATAATACCTATGGTATAGGCAAAAGTGTGAATAGTTTCCCCAGTCGGCACCTACGATCTGTAAGAATCTGAAGAAAACTGCTTACAGCCGAATCCCAAATGCATTCAAGCCGAATACTACATCTTGCATGTGTTTTTACTGTCTATTGATTAAATCTTCAGCTTCAATTACGAGTCTAAAGATGGCTGTCTTCTTGGTTGTTGCGCCGTGTGGTCTGGTAGAACCTTACCGACGTTTCAGATATGCTTACTGTCTCAATCATCGTCTTGATGATATCTGTTGATATCAGTAAATCGGCACAACATGCCAAGAGACAGCCATATTTAAAGTGATATTTGTTGGAACAGTTTCACCCTGTGCTGACATTCGGTTTTGAGAAGTGAGAAACTAATCAAGACCAAATTCATGGATGAAATGCCTGTTGGAAATACACACTAGGGAGATGTAGAAGTAGATGGAAAGTATAGCCGTGGCTGGTGGTTAAATGTAGAAAAGACAAGTGGGTTTATAAAAATCGGATTAGAGGGTGTGGATTGGATTTTTTTGCTCAGTGTTCAGAGACCGTTCGCAGACTCTTGCAAACATAGTAAAGGACCTCCAGTTTTCATAGAATGCGGGTTTACCGCCGTAGTC